TGCGAACGCAACCAGCAGTAACGACGGTAGAATAGTACTATACATAAATATAGATGAAAAGATTGAGTGCGTTGTCCACGAAGTCGTCGTGGAAAATATTATTGTGATGGCGAAATATTACGTTGTACCATCCAACCACAATCGAACACTGCGTCAATCCACCCGAGGAACCAATGCACTATTTACCGGATACGCTAGTGGCTAGTCGAATGTATTGTTAAAGCGTCTTTCCAACTTCCGGCGGCGCCGTTCTGTCATTGTTGAGCGCGGTGCACGCAGTGAACAAGACGAACTGAGAACTACGTATCCGATGCACATATCGTCGAGGACAGCAACGACATGCGTCACTGTGCGTGTAAACTAAAAAAAAAAATATTCGGTTCCGGCTAATGGTCGGGAAGTATCACTATCGATCGAGCCAGATCCGGTCAACAAGTATATAATATTATAGTCAATATTATTTTGCAGCTGCCGAATGTCGAATAAATTTTCGGCAATTTTCTAAATTATTAATGTAATATTATTAAATATATAATTAACAATAATATTATGTTATATTATAAGCGTAAATTATCTTGACACCTAACTACAATAATATTACACATCTGTGTTTATATCTATGTGTGTGCTTATATACTAGTATAGGCCGGGATAGTCGAATAGCACTTATTATCTAAATAGAAAATATGGTCGAATTGCACTTTGGTTCAAAAAAGTTAATGGTCGAACTGCACTTGGGTAAAAAGCAGGTAGAGGTCGAACTGCACTCGTTCAAAAAAAAGGAGATAAAGTTTAAAGTCACTACCTATATTATGGACTTTCATTTTTATTACTATAATAATATTGGACAATTTAAAAAACGAATTGCAAAAAAAAAAATATATTATAAAAATGAAAAGAAAATGAATAATATTTGACGATTTAAAAAAAAAAATAAAAAAAAAATATATAAATATTTTATTATTACAAAAATTAACAAAATTAGTTAAAAAAAAAAGTTACAATAATACATTTTGATCATATTTTAATATATGTATATGTTATAATATTATATTAACATAATGGAAAATATTATGGTATGTATAAAACAACCATTTTTTAACTACGCCTGCAATAATTAAAACCATTGTCAGTCCTAAGCCTGTAAGTGGGAAGGGAAGTTAGTGTTTTATAAATGTTAACGTTTAACCCATTCAAAATGCATGGTATTTTTGTTGTAATACCTTTTTTGAGCCTCAGCACAATTCGACAACTGCCTGCTTTTTACCCGAGTGCAGTTCGACCATTACCTTTTTGAAACCCAAGTGCAGTTCCACTAAAATAACTGCAATTCGACCATACCCGTATAGGCGTATTGCGTATATCTATAGTCTATACCCATTACCCATAGGTTTATGGTATAATATTATAATATATTACCTTATATTATGACATATATAACTATATGGCATGATGTGCGGTTATTTGACACAAATAAATAAATGTAATATATTTGTGGTCTGTGTTGTTGACGTATATTTACTAATTTCGTAAATAAAATCTAATATAAAATTACCATGGCCATAATATGGTAACGATATCCGCCCAGTGGCGTGGCGAACGATTTTCACACAAGGAGCAAAGATTTTATTCTACCCACCCACCCAATATTTTATAAGACATTTAAAAAAAAAAAAATACAGTACATTTGTTGAATTGCTCTAATTACAAAATTCTATAGGAAATAGCTATTTACCCAAAATTCAATAATCAATCATATTGTGGGTCTGAAAGGGTTAAAACGAATGAAGTTTATAACACATATCTATTTATTAGTAGCTTCTAGATTATTTTCTTATTTAAGTTTTTTTTTAAGATTCTGAGGGGGGCAAAATAATGTTGGTATCCAAATTTTCTACTTCAGCAATTTTTTGTTGATAGGAAAGTGAATCTAATTAGTATTTTTTTTTGGGGGGGGGGGGGGGGATAAAAATTTTCAAAAACGTGGTATAAACTAAAAAAAATAAGTAGGAAAGGTGGGTAAGTGGATGTCGCTCTGCTGTACAGTAGGTATTACCATGCAGCCATACAGGGTTGGAAATTGTTCCAAACAAGTGGTTTCGTTTAAAATATTTTTTACATATTACATTTTTTTAAATCATTTATTTGGATAAAAAATATTTATATTACTCTTTTAGTTGAATTTAATTCCGGCAAAAAAACACGTCATTAATATTTTTTATGTTTAAGAAATTTAATTTTTATAATTTATTTTTCAGAAGACGAACATTAGTACATCAACAACTATTTGGAAACTATAGGTACTTCGGAATATGTACACTCGCTCAGGAGCATATTAATAAATACATCAATGTTGATTTTAAAAATTCGCTCATAAATCAATTTTAAAGTGATTTTCCTCAAGATGAAATTGAAAATATTGTATTTTGGATATCTCTGTATCGTCAAATACAAAAAAGTAGTTCATTATTATCAATGTATAAAAATAACAGTTCTATCTGCGATATGTGAATTGTTTAAATATTGTTTGCATATTTAATCCTGATTCGTCTCAACAGTTAAGGCAACTCCAATTTTATACTTCACAATATTCATAATATTATGAAAACAAATATTGAAGGTACAGTGAATTGTACGGGTGAAAGTTCTGAGAAAAAGTTTTTCCACTTCGGTTTTGCAATAATAGTCAATTCAACAGTAACATCTATTTTTTTTTTCACCGCCTCTCGTCTAGTCCTCAATCGAAACACTAATAATTGGACGGGACGACCAATACGACCATATACGTATAGGTATATTATACAACAATAATATTATGTATCCCGTTAAATAAATTACAATATTTGAAATTTTTTTTGCCAAAAGTGTTAATCAATGACGGTTTAAACTATCTGTATTAGTTTTGAAGTTGGATCTTAAATCTTTCAATCAAAAAATATAACAAATTAAATTTGTAGTAAAAAAGCCTTCAACAGGTATGTCGCCCGAACCTATTTAAGTAAAAAGTAACATTTTCCGAATTTTTTTTCCATCAACGTTTAGACGGCTATTTAAATATATAGTTGCGCCAATTTGCAACAGAAAAAATAAGCTCCTTCTACCGAATAATCTAATTAACAGAAACGTCGTTTTAAAACCGTTATCAACCCGTTGCCCCACTATAATGAAAATATTTGAAATTTTTTTTTTCCAAAAGTGTTAATCAATGACGGTTTAAACTATCTGTATTAGTTTTGAAGTTGGATCTTAAATCCTTCAATCCAAAAATATAACAAATTAAATTTGTAGTAAAAAAGCCTTCAACAGGTATGTCGCCCACACCTATGTAAGTAAAAACTAACATTTTATGAATTTTTTTTTGCATCAACGTTTAGACGGCTATTTAAAAATATAGTTGCGCCAATTTGCAACAGAAAAAATAAGCTCCTTGTACCGAATAATCTAATTAACAGAAATGTCGTTTTAAAACCGTTTTCAACCCGTTGACCCACTATAATGAAAATATTTGAAATTTTTTTTTGAAAAAAGTGTTAATCAATGACGGTTTAAACTATCTGTATAAGTTTTGAAGTTTGATCTTAAATCCTCCAGTCAAAAAATATAACAAATTAAATTTGTAGTAAAAAGCCTTCAACAGGTATGTCGCCCACACCTATGTAAGTAAAAAGTAACATTTTCCGAATTTTATTTTGCATCAACGTTTAGACGGCTATTTAAATATATAGTTGCACCCATTTGCAAGAGAAAAAATAAGCTAAGTCATCAGACGAAATTTGAAACCATCAACTACTTTTAACGTTTTATTCCTTTCACTTTTCATAAAGTAAATTTTCGTATTAGATAATTCGCTTGTCACTATTCAAAATATTATGTTCTGTATTATATTATTATTTCAATGACCAAATCAATTATAATAAACTGCGACCAGTACCACGTAACTTAATACGTTTAGTACATTTTTGAAACATAGGTTTTAATTGTAACTGTTAATATTATTGTGGAATATGTTGATCATCATGCTTCTAACACAACGAACTTCGGAGCACAGAAATAATGTAGGTTGGTAATTAAAAAAATAGTTATCTCGTGTTTTTAAAAAGATTTGACGATTTTAGTGTATCCTCGCATAATCATACATTTTTAAAAATTATCCGTGTTTATTGTTCTAGGTGATTTCTGGGACCTGTTGTCAAGTTATCAATATTATTATTTTAATCGTATTGCTTTTACTAATATTAAGGCCTCACGGCACAACATATTTTTAGATTTACAATTTATTGAAAACTTAAGTAAAATTATCTATAGATATTGCAATGGAAAAATACTAGACTACCAACCCACTATGCTTTATTATGGATTTTTTTTTTTATTTTAATAAAAGATAATAATATTTATTTTATTTTTGTTATTCGAGAGTTTAGCACAAAGTCCTTATGTTTGTATAATATTATGGCTCATGGACTCAAAAAATGTTGACGAAAGTTTCCAATATTCTTTTTAGAGATATCAGGGAATTTCAGAAAGTAGTTTGCACCACTTTTGAAAATAAACCTAGTCAACGGCGAAACAGGTAGATTTATCACCTCAGTGGAATTAGTTCACAATGATACTCACCGATGACGATGGGCCAGCAATACACCTTATAGCACCGTATTTTGTGTTCGCTCATTTTTGCTGGGGTGAAGTCAGGTTTTACAACTAGTATATAGCCCGTCTATTTCATCCTGACACTTGTCATTCGTTAAAGTTGGTTCAGTGGTTCAAAAAATTTATTTTTTTTCAATACAATAAGGGTTTTCAGACCCTTGGTTTTTTTTAAGAACGAAACGGTCTCTAAGTTGGCAGACGAACTGGATGAGTCATAATAATATTATATTTTAAATAGGTAGTACCATTACACCACCGGCGAGAGCGTGCCGTGCTCAGATATTAATAACCTTCGGGTCTTCAGCGGTGCGACCGTCCACGACCGGCGTGTTCTGAGCACCAGGGCCACGCGCATGGAACCGCTGGCCTGCGCGGTCACGGCCCACGGGCTGCGGCCGGTCCACGCCCGCCCACAGGTGCTGTTGCTGTTGGACGTCCCGCGGGTGCGGCCGCTGTTCGCTGCGGGCCCAGTATCTCCCGGCGGATCTGCTCCACGTCCAGCTTGTACGCGCACACGACGGCCGTCCACCGGTGCCTCGGCCGTGACCGTTTCCGTCGACGCCTCCGTGTTGCCTGACGTCGCCCGGTCAGCACTGCATGAATGGCCGCAGTCGTCGCGTGCGTCTATCGGTACGAACAAGCCGCGGTACACCTTTCTTCAACCACCGACCGACCGATTGACGCCGCTCGGTAACGTGGTCGTTGCGTTGGACCTGTACAATATTCGCGATCGCGGTTGTGTTGTAGGGGCGGTATGAACAATACTGACTTCTGCAGCACACACAACAACAACAACAACAACGAAGTGTCATACCAGGTGATTCTTTCAATAGTAAATATCACTCGTCGTCTAGGAAAGGTATTTACGGTTTTTGAAAATATTTTTCAGAGAATTCTAATAAAAATCAAATTTCAAACGAGATCGCGTCTATTGTAGTTAGGGATCTAGTAAATCAGTAAGTACCTAGCTAGTCATAAGCATAGACCCAACTAAGTTAACAAAATTATTAATTTCAAATAACCCATCGACGGCTTATAATATAATAATTATAATATTATATAAGAATATTTTTGACGTGGTTAAATCTTAGCCCCCCCCTTCGTTACACCACTGGTTATAAGTAGGGCTGAGTTTTGATGCACTCTGCATATTGTTTTCAAACTCGACGACGCTCATTTATACATAATATTATGTAATACGTCTCGTGTGCTTTCTAATCATACAAGAAGTTATCGTTTTAAATCTTTTGATAGTTTTTGATTTTTAACATATTTTTTTTAAATTTGTTTAGAACATTGTAGATTTTTACTTTTAAAGTAACTTTATAACGTTCTAACAATATGGGTTTCACTTAAGTATATCAGTATAATATAATAATAGGCAATATACAATACCAATATACTTACAAAAATCTGAACAGGAACACACTTAAATACTTAATTAATAAATTCGGTTTACGATCATATTGTGTGTGTTTACGATACCATTGCCTGTCGCATATTATAACATAGACGAGTAGGCACCAACTGAAACCAGAAATAATAATCGTTGCTCCTCGCAAACCGAGTAAACATATTTTATTTTTCAATAGGAATAACATCGTTACCTACCAATAAATACGACAAGATAATAATAATTATTATAATAATCGGATCCGCCGCGTGATAACCGCATACCAGAAATCGAGTAAGATAGAGCGACGTGACTTTTGATATTATATTAAGTACCTAATGTGCTGATGTCATTGTGCAGCAGCTGAATATAATAATAACCTATTCATATATTATGCACGGTTGACTGAAATGCGACTACCTCGTTCACTGGTATAATAATATATACGTGAAATAAGGAAATGAACGAAAACGAGAAAAATCACAAGAAAACAATATAATAAATAACGTCCGTTCGCAGAGCGGCCTTTGAAGGCGATTTAATAATGAATAAGCGTGCGGATTCGGCGGACTTCGTTCTAAGTCAAAGTTTAAAACGTAAGTTGAATTGATACTGTCGAGACGTGACTGCTCACGGATAGATTTTCAATATAATATAATATAATCTCGAAATAATAAATTGTCGTTTCGATGTGTATTTTAGTAGGTAGGTATAAAATAGTATATTGTACCTATATTATATTGTATTTTGTGTACCGCAATGGCGAGAGTCGAGAGATACATTTCGAGACTAGGTACTTGATATTATAATAGTACCTATGATATTGTAGGTACCTACTCATAATATTTAGAGTAGGTAATCATTATTCATCGCAGTCTGTGCATTTCTCATATAAATCAAAAACTGGATGGATTAGTGTTTCGTTTAGTGGTTAAAAATTACACAATTCGTAGATAGTTCAAAATAACAATATAGGTATTCGGCGGACTTTTGAAGACGATTTAATAATGAATAAGCGTTCGGATTCGGAGGACTTCTTTCTAAGTAGAAGTTTTTAACGTAAGTTGAATTGATACTAACGCGACGTGACTGCGCACAGATCGCGTTTCAATATAAAATGACGATTTGTTTTAATAACTATTGAAATAATTAATTGTCGTCTCGATGTGTACTGTAGTAGGTACCTATATAATATATTATATTATATTATATCGTACATTGTATTTGTAATTTGTATGTACATACAGCAGTGATGAGAGATACTTTTCTAAACTAATAGTATATTTTTATGGGCTCCCACACGAACATGTTCAGTTGGGCCGATTATCTTCTTGAAGAATAAATAAAAATGAAAAAAAAATAAAAAAAAATAATAATTTTTTTTTTTTTTTTAGGGTTGAGGCTTCGACAACAAATGTCATTAGCCTGTGGTACTGTAGGGGGGGAACTGTAGTGAGTTTTGGCAGAATTTTCGATTTGGGCACCAGTAAGTATCTGCCATGTCCGGGTGGGGGTTGGCGGCATTTGTTCTCCGGATACCGTGACTTGCCCGAAGAAAAATGCCGCCCGTGACCACGGGATCGAACCGGCGCCGGCAGCGTCGTAACCGACGCCTTAGACCGCTTGGTCACTCCGTCCCCCAAAATTATAATAATATAATAGTAAATAATTAAGGGTACCTATTCATAATATTATTTAGAGTAATTATTATTTGTTACATTTCTCATATTATGAATAAAAAACTCAATAAATTAGTTTAAAATAGCTATAAATCACAAAATACATAGATGACTTAAGATTAACAATAGGTTAGGTATACCCAACATACGTGTGAAATTATGACACTATGTTTGGATAAAATACTTTAAAATTTTCGTTTTTAAATTACCTCTATTATCATTAAAACAACTACAGTATACAACCATAGCAATATTGTAGGTATACAATATTATTGCATGCATATTGTATAGTTTGTTTTTCATCTGAATTTAGTCTATTGGATGAAATGTTTGAATGAAAAATCATAAAATTATGAAACGATGCACTATAGAAAGTAAATTATAATATGTATATGAACCTTATACGTTGTACGTATAGCGTAACGTAATATTTGTATATTGCATATTTTTTTTTTAATATTGTAATAAAATATTTATAGTATAATAATAATAATGGTTGTTGGTATAAAGAATTTATATTATAACAACTAACAAGTGAAACCTATTATTATAATATTATTATGTTGGCTGAAAAGTAATGTATAAAAGCTGTCTTGGCCACAATAGGTACCTACAACACATATTTGCTTTTTTCATCGTCTGTTTTATTGGACAGTTGTTTATATTTTTAATCCGAACAAATTCACGAGTTTCTATTTTTTTTTTTCGACCGTCAACGGTCATAATTTGTTTCAGTTTCCATAGTCGATTTAATTTTTTAGCGATCAATTTTAAAATTAGTTTAAATGTTTTTTCGCAGTTTCTAAAGTAATTTATTTTGATTAACGTTCAATAATAATATGTATCGTGATTGGACTTGAATACTATTCTGGCAGTTCGGTACCTGCGTTTCAAAGTATGCACATCAAGCTAGCTATTGTATTCAAAAACGGCGAACAAGAAAGTCAATTATACAACGGATACGTGAAACGAATATTCCTTTAGAGCAGTCAAATTTTGATTAAATGAAAAGCGGTGAGTTGTGTTGATAGCATACTACTATATTATTTTGTTTAGTTTAGTTAATTATTTTTAGAAATAATATTTACTCTGTACACCTGTAAGTCAAGATTATTGTGTATATGACTACATAGTATTTGTTTTGGGACACTAATGTACCTACTTGTATAATATTTAATAACAATTCATTATACATATATATATATTAAGGCATATACGTGCCACTCCTGTGGACTAAATTTTTTTCTAAGTTTTATCCTTAAGAATACAATAATATTTGTCCACGGGTTGTGTTACCAAAAATATGTTTCCCGAAGGTCTGTGTATCCGCCTAAGTGATCCAGATAGAATACATTTTTGTCTACTGAATTCAACACAGTACCTACTTATAAATTAGGGAAAGTGAATCTATGTGGTGAATCTATGTGATTCAAGAGGTCAACATTTAAAATTTCCAATAGTTTTCAAAAACTATAAATAATAATAATGATACTTTCAAAAAAATTAAGGAAAAACTGGAATTTTTAGGCAAAATTGGTTTTCGGCAAAATCGATTTTGATTTTTAGCGTCACTACAAAATAACTTAGCAAATGTGAACTGAATGTTTAAATCATCATTTCTAATTCTCCTACAAAATGTTCAAAATAGTTTGATTTATGGCGGGTTTGGAATTAAAGAGCTGTATGTGTGACAATATCAAAATTGTTCAGTAGATCGTTATTAAGATTCGAAAATTAAAATAACGTAATATTACATGTTAGTCTAGTGTTTGAAAATTTCATGAAATTTAAAAAAATGAAATATTTCAGTATTTTAATATATTTTGTTTTATTTTTAAATAAGTTTTATATTTACATAGGTATAGGTAATTGTCATAAATTTACTCATACTGTCTCATACTTCAAACACTACATGTTACTGGTTAGTGGAATATTGGTATAAACATTTAAATGGTTGTCTTTAACCATAATTGTTCATTCAATTATCAATTGGGTAGTCAGTTCGAAAATTTAAATTTCGTAGAAAAAATAACAACTTTTTTCGATCTTCATTTTAGATGTCAACAGTTTGATATACAATTATTTTCCATAAAAACACATTGATACATTATACTGCTATATTTTTTACAAACTATAATCTGGTAGGAGGGACTTCGTTATATTATTTTACGTGATCGTGTTCGTGGAAAACAACATTCAAGTTATTTCAAAACGTATGAAATCAAGACAACACAAAACAACAAAACAGTTAGATAATCAAACAGTGGTGTTATAATATGATAAAAAGAGATACGAAGAAAATTGAGTGAACTTGAACATCGAACCAAAACTACAGTTTGAACAAAAAGAAAAATAATGATAAGAAGAATAAGATATAAACTATGATACCTTGTCAAGATATCGATCAAGTAATTGAAGAGTTGTATTACGAATTCCATAAGAAAACTGAACTACTGCCGAATGGAAAATCATTGCAAAATAAAAACAGAGGGAGGGGGTACAAATTAGAATAATACATGAAAATTGGTTGTGAGAGACTGACACTATTTTTGTCATAATTGTTGTCACATAAAGTGGTAACCGTTGGTATATTCAGTTTATCAATAATAGTAAAACAGATTTTTCGTTTTTTTTTTTTTAAATATTGAACTTAATTATTTTATTATTAGGAATCACTAGACAAAAT